AGCTTAACCAACCCCTTACCTAGATCTCTCCCCGCATTGTCTTTACGATGCAAAATTAGGTTTTCCTCTTTTGACCTTTTCCTTCGGATAAATCAAAGAGCGGTTGTGAACTAAAGATGTGATTCAAATTAATTAATAATTTGATATCATATTCTAACCGCAACAGATAACCATTGTCTTTTTGTTCCTGAGAAAATAGAAAAACAAAAAGAAATCACCATCACCACTGCAATCGTTAAAAGGGATGAATATGACCCTTAAAACTTACAGTTTTGCATTAACCTAAACCTTATTTCAAACATTTCTTTATAATCCCTACTCATTATAGAAGAAGGGGACAAAAAATTAAATACATACCTAAGAAGGATATGAACAGAGAATTATGGGTATGTAGTGAAGCTATGCAGTTCAAGGGAGCTTGCAGAAGTCGTGGGAGAAAAATAAAGCTCGAAAGTGAGAGGAGAGGCTTTTATAAAGGAACTAAAACCATTAAGCTTTTAGACTCCCTCATAATTTTGAAAAGCTCATCACACTTCTGACACATGGCACTAGTGTTTAATGTCTCAAAAAAGGCCATTATTACTTAGATTAAATGAAATAAGCATGACCATCTAAATGATTGATTGTCATTCCCCAACTAACATTCTGGTTAATCAAGAGACATTTGGAAAGGGGTGCTGACTCACCTTCAATTTGGGGTTTTAATCTAATAAAAAAGGAAGGACTTGCCTCCCATTAAAAAGGTCACTATCATCTGAGGGACTCGTCTCTCACTAAAATGGTCGCCTTTAGCAGAGGGACTCGCCCCAAGTTGAGGAAATATTCTCCCACTAAAAAGGTTGCCTTCAGCCGAGGGACTCGCCCCAAGATGAAGGACTCGCTTCCCGTTGGAAAGGGGACCATGCCCAATACCACGGGATAGAACCTAAAAGAAAATTTAAAACACTTCGTCCTTTTTCAAAGTACTCATGCTTGAGGGACTGTGTAGTGTTATATTTGCGAGAATCCTAAATAAGGGTGACTCTAGAGTCTTCGCCCAGCAAGGAATCACCTAGCGCTACATTTATGAGGTATGGGGTCTCACCCTTTGGGACAGGAAACATTTATAAATATTGTTATCTCTCCGCTAAGGTATACTAGAATGAGTCATGCCACAACTTCTAAAAGAGTAGGTAGTTTATAACCTACTCTAGTCAAAGAGGAGCAGTTACCACCTTTTAAGGTTTCCTAAGTCTTAGGCCTAAAGAGCCTCTATAAATACTTATCCCCCTAACGAAGGAGTACATCTCATAACTTACACACAACATCTAAAGCAACACGTTAACAGACAGAGCCTCTCACTTCACTTGAGCAATAGGGATGGCAAACAAACTCAGACCCGTCCGCACCCGCCCGGGCCCACCCCGAAATTAACGAGAAAAATCTGATTTAATTGGGTGCGGGGGAAATCTGGTTCTTAACTACAGGTGCGGGTGCGGGGAGACACTAAGACCCGCCCGCACCCGCCCCCGAATAATACATTTTAGTTTAATTCTCTTATTTTACTTATTTTAATATTTATTTATTAATTATATTTTTAATTAAATTATTAATACTCTTATTATAATTAAAATAATTAAATTAATTAAATTAATATTTATTTACTAATTAAATTTTTAACTAAATAAATAATTAATTTATTAAAATAATTAATTTTTTAATTAAATTATTAATTTTTATTGCAATTAAAAAATAATATTTTTTTTCGGGTGCGGGTGCACCCGTTCTCCACTGGGGGCAGGTCTGGGCGGTAATTTTTACCCCAATTAAATTTGAGGGTGGGGCGGGTGTGTTACATGGAGGCGGGTGCGGATATAGTTAAACGGACCCCCCGACCCACTCCGTTGCCATCCTTAGAGTAATCAAACATGTCAAAATCAATTTTATACGTTCAAAATCAGTTATGACTATTTTGAACATGAAACCAGACATACACTTAATTAAAATGTCATTTTGCTCTTAAAAAACACTTATTCAAGATTTTTTACGATAAGAATATTAAAAAGATTTATTTTGAAGTTGTTGAATTAGATTTTTGTGCAGTTATTAAGAGGTCTTATTCGAATTGTTATAGATAAAAAAAATTATTATATTAGATTGTAAAAGAGATAATGCGTATAAATAAACAAATAAAATTTGAAAAATGATGACATCAAATAAAAAAAATAGATGTGCATGGATATTATCTAACTTTAAATATTTAGAAGTTTATGGTACACAATAATGACTGGGATCGCGAGTTAATAAACCATTACATTGTATGTCGTTCAAATATTGAAGAGATTAAAATTATAATTGAGATGAGTCATTCAAATATTGATGAGATTAAAATTGTTGAGATGAGAATGAACATAATTTTTTTTTCAAAATACTTTCATAACTTAAAAACAAAAAGGGATTTATAATATTCAATACAAAAATAACAAGCTATCGGGAGTTCAAGAACTGGAATACGGCATTTGTTGAAACAGTTGGATAAATCTAAGTAGTGGATAATATAATAGAATGTCTGGTGATTTAAAAAATTTGTACAAAATACATATAAAGCAAATCTAGAATTCATCAAGTTGTTTAACGACGTTTTCAATATATTGTTAATAGATTCAGTTAATGTTTTTTGAATTTTAAAGATGTGTCACAATTTCTTCAATAACCTGAATATGTCTAAGTTATTGTCATGGACTGTGATACTGCACTGAAGAATTTTGTTGCAAAAATTTTTCCTACTTCATCTATTTTATTGTATCGGCATCACATAATAAAAAAAATGAAAAAGTAGATGTCAATTGCTTGTAACAGCAAAAAATGTCGGGGTTTGAGATGAAAGTAGAAGTGTCAAACCTAAAAAGGTATGAACTATATTTCAGTAGGTTTCAGTATATTTCTAAAATGACTTCAACTGATGAGAAAAGAAACTCTTGACTATTTATACCGCATGAACCGAATATTATAAGCAGCATTCCAAAGAGCACCGGCAATTTTTCGATTCTTACATTTGTTCCAAGGTCTACACACTTCGATAATGAACTATGTGATTCAGTATCTTTGGGCTTGATTGAAAGTTCACCGTCGCCAGAAATGATTTGTCCTCTTGGCTACATTCTTTTTATTGCAAATAGCAATCACAGGTCATGGTTTACAACGGCTCTAGCAAGTAGGGGGTAGTTGAACAATGAGTTCAGTATCTCAACTTGCAAGCAGTAGCAAGGGAGAACGGAAGTACTAGATAATAATTGTTCATGAAATTTAGTCTGATTACTTGACAGATAAAATTTTAATTATAATTACTTAAGGAAAATTTAGTACAAATGTGTTCAATAAGCATATCTTATATTCAGGACATTATTCAATAAACATTCTGTCACCTTTTCTAAAACTATTTAATTTAATACTAATCCGGTCCTAATTATAAAAGAAATTATTTTTAAAATATATTAAATAATCAATATATCTTAACTGTATCAAAGACCAAAATATTCAATAAATCTAAAAAATCAACTTTGTTATTATAAACAAGATATCACAAACATATAATGATTGAAAGACAGATAAAAGCTAAAAGAAAGGACCAATTATCTTGAAAAAATTACATATCCTGCCTATTCTAAAACTAGAGAGAGAAGCAATTCATGGCACTCGAAGAAAATCCTAAAACTGAGAAATCAGACTAAGCCTATGCACACTAAACATCTACAACCCAAATTCTCTATCTTAACCCAAAATTCTCTCATCCAAATAATTTTGTTTAACCATAAATTTTTCTCTTAAAATACACTAAAATCACCAAAGTTACCAAAATTAAGAAGGTAGAGAATCCATTTCCCATATGACATAGTCATTAAATATTCAAGAAGCAGGCCCTAGTCCTTACTACTCCTATCACATTGAACAACCAGCTACCTTCACTACAAAAAAATTCTAAAATAAACACAGAAAGTTAACAATCTAGTAAAATCTCAAACACGAGGAATTTTTTTCACGGTTCATTTGCTTGGAGGTTCTATATGCTTCATAGAACCATCCAAAATAATTCCAATGACAATTAAAACAGTAAGGTCCATACATCCTCAGATGCCTACACCAACAGATATTCTCAGTCCACACCAAGTGATTTCATTCTTAATCAATGCCAATGGTTATATCAGGGTTAAAAAATGAAGATTTCCTCAGGCATTGTATGGAACTAAATCAATCAAATACTGTTTTCTCCATAACTAAAACAGCATCCATGAACATCATTCTACCGAAGGCCAACCTTATCTGCCAGAAATTCAATAAGCAAATAATTTTCCATAAAAAAGGATGCTTCAGTATAGGCAATAATTATTCTAAAGGATCCTCCTACCCATTCAAAAGAACTCCGAAAATATGGTAAGGCTTTGTGTTCAGACCAAAATATAGCCCCTAATTATGAAAGCGAATTCAAACAAATATCACACCTAACGTATCACTTAAAAAATAAATCTATCACCTGAAAGATTTTGCTTATCGTAGTCCTATAAACTTTCCAGTGTCCAATCATCAAAATTGCACTCGATTGATCATAAAGTATATTGTACATTAATAAAGCATCCTCATAAACAAGTCCCTGATCATATCATACCTAAATCCGTGAAGGAAATCTAGTCCATTCCATATAAATCTTGATTATATACCTTCTCCTCCAAGACCTGAGAAACAACCTATCCCACTCAGATTAAAAAACTTAGTCTATACCACCTTTATGATCTAATCGATATAGATGGACTAGGAATAAGGTAGAAGAGTATAAAATAAAAAATGCAACTTCAAATTTGTATAATCGAGAGGCCGCATGTTCATAATTGAAGATGCTGATCTGTCTGTTCCAGAGCCACCTAAACATGATTGAAGTGCCACAAAACATTAGGGAAAAAACAATCCACTGTAGCAAATTTAAATTTAAATTCATGAAAATGATCCTTACCAAAAGGTTCTTCGCACTAATAATAGTATCTGTCTTCATGAGGGCCATTGCCCCCATAGAAAGAGTATGGACCTCTGCCATGCTGCAGCACGAATATCATAACACATCAATAATAATAAAATCATATAAAGTGAGATAAAAATAAGTTCAAAAATTCACTCACATGAGAACCATAATAGTCATGTGGGTACTGCCTGCTGCCAGCCCCAGCATAATCTGTACATCAAAAGTGTTATCAAGAATATACAACCATACAATTGATAAGTAGGAAAGAAAAAGAAGTAATGTTTAGACCATGGTATCGAGTTCCATGAAATATAGATGGATCTGCATTATCAAATCGCGGGCGAAGTCTATTAGGCCCCATGTGATCAGGTTCAGGGTCCTAAAAAACAGAAGTACAATTAAAACTAATTAGTACTTTCCAGGTGTCTTTAGAGTTGAAACAAATTTGTAAGGTAACACAACCATATCATATGCTTAAGTAATAAAAAACTTACAGTCATATGAAATGGGCGTTTTATTCCACGTATATTGTCATCATACAGATATGGATCATCAACATGCCTTCCCGTAAAAGGCACGTCAAATTGTCCCCCTGGAGAGTACGGCCTTCTTGGAGGAATAGGTTCACCAGGGCCTCTATCAGGGATACCATAAAACTGTCCGCCTGGAGAGTATGGCCTTCTTGGAGGAATAGGCTCACCAGGGCCTCCATCAGGGATACCATAAAACCGTCCACCTGGAGAATATGGCCTTCTTGGAGGAATAGGCTCAACAGGGCCTACGTCAGGGATACCATAAAACCGTCCACCTGGAGAGTATGGCCTTCTTGGAGGAATAGGCTCACCAGGGCCTCCATCAGGGATACCATAAAACCGTCCACCTGGAGAATATGGCCTTCTTGGAGGAATAGGCTCACCCGGACCTCCATCAGGGATACCATAAAAACGTCCACCTGGAGAGTATGGCCTTCTTGGAGGCATAGGCTCACCAGGGCCTCCATCAGGGAAACCATACCATTCTCTATCATAATAATGTCTAGATGGACCAGCAAATGGAGCACCACCTAGACTACCTGCATAATGTTCACCCCCCATAGCTCCTGCTTGACATTACAGTAAAACATTAAGATCATAAAAAAACATGTAAGTGCCTTTATATATTGTAATTTATAAGTGACTTCAACTATAAATTTAGCTAGAAGCTTAACAAGCGACCTTGTGGACCAAATTGCCGCTGATGGAAATTCGGATGCATACTAAAATCAGGGTCGTCCCAAAAACCCCTTCCAATTTGACTGCGCCTCCCATGATGATAGAAACTCCTGCCCCTGTTGAAATTTCCCCTGTTATTGAATGGATGTCTTCCTCGCCCCCGCCCAAAACCTACTTCTGTAGATATTGTGTTTGGATCATTCAAAATAATGTCAAAGATAAGGTTTCAACTTAATGGAAGGAGAAAAGGTTATTTACCTGATCTTGGGTAAGCTTCACTCCTGGCCTGACCAATGCGGAGGCCACCACACATGTCACCCTTGACAGCCTGCATTTTAGGCAAAGGGTTTGAAAGCCTAGCTCTCACTTTTATCTGAAAAACATGGCAAAAATTATGTGCTCTTCTTAACAAAAGAATAAACCAACCAGATCAGGTTAAAACAAAAGAAAATATATTACTAGGATACAAAAATTAACCAAAGTACTGCTAGGTGACAGAAATCAAGCTTTCGAGGAAGACGGATGAGAAAAAGGGAAAGAAGGAGAACAATTAAGTAGGAATTCCTTTTCAATCTTCTATTAAAAAAAAAATTTCAAAGCCAATTAATATTACTCCGCCCCATGTTACTGAAAATTCTTCAAATAAGCAATGGGTAAGCAAAGGAAACAAGAGAGTAATTCTTTCAAAATGTAAAACCCTGGTGAAGGCGAAAGATTATATACCTTTGATGCCCCATCTCCCAATTCTGATTTATTTACACCATCAACACAAGCTAAAGCAGCTTCATGTGTAGAAAAATCCACAAATCCATAATCCTTTCTCTTAGATGTGGACATATTCCTCGCTAAAACAACTTTTACAATATCACCATAAGATTTCAACAGTTCCCTCACATGATCTTCCTCCCAGTGAAGAGGGAGACCATTAATAAACACAGACTTCACTTGTGCCATTATCTCGGGGTCTGGTTCATGTACCGGTTCGGCAAAGGCTACCTTAGCAGTTCGCTCAGCATGACCAAAAATGACATCAGGCTTTTGAAGTCTCTTGTATGCAAGCATGGCATCAGCATGACAAAAAAACTCAAGGAATGCAAAGCCCCGGCTCAAGCCTTCATGTTGAACATCTGGTACGAGTGTAATGTTTTCAACCCCTTCTACACCATAATCCTTCAGCTTCTGTTTAATCTGTAACAGGTACATTAAAAACACATGAGATAACAAACCATGCTAGTAAATATAAGCAATAGAAGAAAAAAGGGAAAAAATACTAGACACTTACAATTTCTTTTGTCCATTTATTGCAAATATTTCCCAAGAATAATGTGTCATTATCCTCACTAGGTGCGGTGCCACATCGTTTTCCACGTATCTGTAAAAAAAAAATAGGAGGTCAAACAACAATGCAAGGACTTGGGAGTACAACATCCAAGGAAAATAACAATAAGAACAGAAGCGTACAACAGGGTTCTTCATTTCAGACAAAGCTTTCTTCGCGTGCTCCTTAATGGCAAACTTCACAAAAGCATATCCCTTATTTTTATTTGTTGACGAATTTTTATGCAACCTGACTTCCACTACCTCCCCAATCCTCTGAAAAACCTTTCTCAGATCTTCCTCTGTAGCATCACGATCCAACCCACCAACAAATATCTCATGCTCTTTCCTAATCTTTCGCTGCTTTGCAATATCTTCAAAATCTATATGCTCTTCATCCAATGTCTCGGTTTCTTCGGGCAGTTCCTCTGGATCTTCTTCTGGATCTTCCTCTGGATCTTCCTCCTCAAGCTCCACCTTCCCTTGCTCTTCAAGATCTATCAGTTCACCACCCTTTGGCCCTTCAACACCATAATTTTTGGGATCAAATTCTTTTGGCAGTTGGGCTTGTACTTCTACACTAAAGTGCTCTTCATGTCCAATAATGTTTGTTTCCTCTCCTTTTGCTTTTTTTAATTTCTCTTCTTTAAAATTTTCATTTTCTTTCTGTGCTTCATGTTCTTTAAACTCTTCTTTTTCTTTCTCTCCTACTCGTTCTTTTACCACTTCCTTTCCCTTCTCTACTTCCTGTTCTTTCAGCTCTTCCTTTCCTTTTTCTCCTTCCTGTATTTTAAACTCTTCCATTTCCTTCTTTCCTTCCTGTTCTTGCAACTCTTCCTTTCCTTTTTCTCTTTCCTGTATTTTAAACTCTAAAATTTCTGTCTCTCTTTTTTGTTGGTTCAACTCCTCTTTTCCTTTCTCTCCTTGATCATTCAACTCATCCTTTCCTTTTTCTCCTTCGTCTCCTTTCAATTCTGCCTTTCCTCTCTCTTCTTCCGGTATATTCAATTCTTCCTCTTTCAAAACTTCCCCTCCTTCCTTTGCGGCAGTATAATCTTCATTATCAGCCCCAGACATATTGAGATCCATGACATTGCATCCTGATTGTTTAAAAGAAAGAGGAGCCTCTGGAGAAACAATCGGTTCACTACCTTCCATGCTCTTCCCGTTTTCGACCGATTCACAAACTTTTCCAACAACAGGTTCATACACTTCCATGGGCTTTTGTTCCCTCCCATCCGACAATCCAACAGACAAAAAACTTTGTCCCCCCTCCTTCTCACTCTCCATATTATCCGCACCAATGTTGCTAACATTTCCAGCTTCTACCACTTTCTCTGCTGCTTCAGAATCACCTACATCTCTAGTTTCATCAGCTTCAGCCTCCAATTGCTCTTCCGAATTTGGAGTGGTGGCAACCACTGTTGTCCTCGGTTTACCTGGTATTTTCCTCTTCGCAGATTTCATAGTGGTAGCACTGGCTAATGATTTTTGCTGCTCTGTTACACAATCAAGTAAAATATACTAAAACAAAACAAAACAAAAACAATACTCTATAGTCCTATCAGGTTAACATCATGTAAAAAATTTAGGTCTATCTCTTATTAACTATTAACAACTGAGAAACTAAGGTCATATCAAAATCAATGAATATTTAGAGAGATAGAGACCAAATTTTAACCTAACAATGTTTCAGCATCTAGACAGAGGTGTTTGCATCGATAAATTTCAGAAATGAAGTAGAGGGGGAAAAGAGCTTACCAGATTGATCCGGATTGGATTCGGTTATAGGCTCGGTTGAGGGCGATGCCTCCGTCTTCTTGGCGTTTCTGGTTTTGGATGGAGGTGTGCGCTTTGCGACCGCAGATTCTCCGGCGGATTTTCTCGCCGGCGGTGTCTTCTTAGGGGTTACGGATTTGGAAGACGAATCCGCATTTCGAGTTCTCATGAGGAATACTCGATAAATAGTGAGAAATTTATTGAGATTTGAATCTGTGTATCCAAACTGAAGCGAAGCGAGGTTTACAGGTTTTTCCAATGTTACTACTCTGCTCGAACGAAGCAACAAAGAAGTTGAAAAACTTCGTTATGCGTTGCAAGGTGAGAACAAAAGTAAGCCGAATTTGAACACGAGAACGACGTCGTTATATTTTGTAAGCCAAATATATAAGATGAAAATTAATGAATATATATATAGTAGAGGCATAAATCAAACTCAATCAAACAACATAATCGGCTCAAAAGGATATACAAATAGATCGAATATAACAAAAGTGGTTTAAAATGAACTAAAACGAACACCTACATATCACACAAACTGACACTGTCTAACAGATTCACGTACAGATGCGAAATTAAATAGTAAAAAAAATAGCCTTATGTGAATAGCCTATAGAACAAAAGTCAGCATACAAAACGACTCTTTTGAGCCAAACAATCACACATCAATCAGACAGAATGATATATATATCAAAATGATTTGACATCAATCACGACGACTGATATTAATATTAAGTCGGTGTCAGCTCAAAAAAGACAAATATGAATTATTGAAACCTGCAGATCTCAATAGATCTGAAAACAATCAGAAAGTCAAACGTTAAGGATATCAACTTTGCATCAAAAACACCAACATGCGATTGTGGATAAACCATTGTCGTTGAATAGGCACACCAAAAAATAAAGGAGTTGCCACAACCTTCCGAACAAGCACCATGGAAAACATCGTAACAGAGTTGTAGTAGACAACATTCCAACGAAAAATTTTGCCACCAAAAGTGACCCACTATCGAAAACGAGGAATAACCATTGGAATATAAGAACCACTTGAAACAATTACAACAGAACAAATTTGACTAACCATCAGTACAGAGGACCCAAACGATTACAACAGAACAAATTTGACTAACCATCAGAACAGAGAACCCACCAGAATAGCCATCAGAAAAAGAACTAAAATGATTTCAAAGAACCATCGGCACGGCGTCAACAGTTCTATAAACCAACTAGAAGCTACATCGTAAAAAAAATAAGGTTTAGATATTAGGGAGGAGGGGGACGAATGATGGTTTAGAGAGAGGCCAGAGAATAGATCTCGTTGTCGTGACGAGATTTATATACTCCACTTTATTTAGTAAAAAAATATTTTATTTGGGTTGTGTCCAATTTTTTTTTTTAAATGTTATTAGTTGAATGAATATAATTGTAACATTGTGTTACATTTTTTTTTATGGTACTATGACGAGATCATTTATATGTTATATCTTTTTTAAAAGAATTTTATTTGCTTCAAACCCTTTCAAAAGAGAAAACTAAGTACTACAAAAATCCCCCTAGAGAAAATGAGTGAGATTATCTACATGTTGAATTCTTTTGAAAATAAGATGGTTCACGTCAAATTTTAACCAACAAAAAGGATTGAGTAGTATAAAGCTCTCTCCAAAAAGGGATTGAGTTGAGATCATTTATACAATATATTAAAATAAAGAAACGAACAAAGAAGTCTACTACAAAAAAATAGGATTAGACCTTGAACCAGCTTAAAATATGAATCAATGCATTCATTATTTTTCAAATTACATGAATGAAATTAGACTTGAGAATAACTAGGTCGGCACATATCTTACAACTACGATTAAAAATAAAAATACACACATTTATGATAAATGCTCGCCCCAAGGTGTGTATTTTTATTGTTAATCATAGTTGTAATATATGTGTCGACCTAGTTATAGCGACAAAGCTAGAGATTTTAAGGAACAACATATTATTTTATAAATTAGTTACATAATATTATTTTATAAATTAGTTATATATATATATATATATATATATATATATATATATATATATATATATATATATATATATATATATATATATATATATATATATATATATATATTGATCTCACATGATCAGAAAGGATCAATGGCCTGCCACGCGTCGTTGGATTGTTGCTTTCACCGGAGTTAGGGAGAAAGAGAGGGGTGTACCTGCAAGGCACTTTGATGCTTAAGTGGGTAAAGGATCAGAGTGGGATAGCAAATACAGAGAAGTAGGCGTAAAGAATAAGATACATGACCTTCTAGTGAAAAAGGGTATTTATAAAGAGACCCCAACGCAGGGCCAACGGTTACCTTGCATTAGGCCAGACTGCCAGACCCAACCCAAGTAACTGCTAGGGTTTACATGGTATAGTGAAGACCAACACGTGGTCTTCGCCCTAGATCAACTGCCATATGATCTTCGGAAGGTGGGCTGACCAACTCATTCGGAGATGGGTAGTTGTCTGATGACGTGTCCCTGCATGGGGGAACACGTGGAGAACATGGGGGAAACGTATGAGTCTGTCTGTCAAAGGAGTCGTCTGCCCGACATGGGAGGATTGACCTTATTGGGCCTCCCCAACATAGTGTTGGGTTGGGCCTTCCTGGATGAGGGGCAGGTCCCGGCCCAGTCCAGAACATGAGCCCCATAAGTCGTTGCTATAAGGCGGAGGAATGATGACTTAAGGAAAAGCCCACGTCGGGGACAAGTAGAGAAGGTGGCTTTATGCCCGGAAGATGAAGTTGAGGGCCATGCTCGTCGATGTATCATGTCAGAGAGGAGAAAAGATGACCGGGGCACTAGCTTTTTGAGCTCGAGGGAAAACGAAGGGGCACAAACAACCATGGTTGCCACGTGTCGGGTGCCAATTGTTTATCACAGGAAGGCTAGTTATAAGGGTGCTTGAGTTCCTATGGGCGCCTAGGGTCTCGTGATAGGCTTATAAATAGCCTTGTCCTGCCCCATTTCTCACTTTTCACTCTCTCTACTCTTGATGTCGCTTCCTTTCTCTTCCGTCTCTTTAAGTTCCACACAGTATCATCCGCCGTCAGCCGTCGTTCCGACCGCCGCTTCCGTCGTCTAGAACAGCCACTCCAAGTAAGTTCTTTGATTTTTTATTCTGTCTTTCACCTCGTTTTACTTATTTTTCGACGATTATGCGGTGGACATGATGAATGTCCTGGGGAGATCGCAGGGTTTTCTAGTAAATATGTCGGGCAACCCTAGAAGAAAAAGTAGGGTTGGGATGAATGTCCTGAGGTGTTTACCGTGTTTTTTGGTAAACAACCTCTGGTCTATCAATTTGGTGTCAAATTGACTAACTTGCAGGATTGATCATACGAAATCCTAAGATATGTGCTGAAGGGTGTTTCTATTTGAACCTATCTAGAAATGTGTTTCAACAATACTAAGAAAAAATAACTTAATGAAGGGGGGCAGAAATTATCCACTATGTTTAAAAGAAAGAAGGAAGAAGAATCATTAGGGGGAGAAGAGATAAGGGTTTTTTTTGGGAGGGAATGACTTAATCGAAATAGTAATGATGAACAAGAGGGAAAGATGAAACAAATAAATAAAAGTACTTGACAAAAGTAAAGAAACAAAATAACTTCATTGAAAAGATAAAGGATGGTGTGTTTACATCACGTACATTCTCTATAATACTCTCTTTCTCTACACTCGGATACTTGGAGTAATTTTAAGAGTGACTTGTACAACAGTAAATTACAACACACCAAGTTTTATGTCTAAGACTCCTATTTATAATAATAATAGTAACTGCTAATAACCGCTAATAACCTCCTTAGGCCATCTATTCTTGACAAGTGTCAGACCACATGCAGTCCTTTATCCGATGAGAGCCACTTGTCCTTCTTAGTCATAAGAAAATATAACTACTCCCTCCAAGATTCGAATTTCAAAAACTCACTTCGACCCTTCTTCTAAATCTCGGTCGAAGACCATTTCGCTTGCTTAGGTCGAAGTATTTAATTTCAAGACTTCAATTTCCTAAGTCCTTGGAAGACTTGTAGATCTTTTTAATATGCTGAAAATAGCCTCCAACATGAGTCGTCGAATTGGTGAGCTAACAAATTGCCCCCCAAAAATGTAGTTTTTCGACACTACAAAAAGTACATTTTTTGACAGCATCCATATTCGACGCCGTTTACCTTCGACTATATCCTGATAGTTGACCCACCTTCAACTGCTTCGAGTTTAGGAAACTGAAAGGTGATGGGAGAGGATATATCCATAATCTCACGCAAAAGGGAACTGTTACGCCCCCTTGATGCACGATCTCTGACGTCATGAACATCATGGCAAATTTCTCGGTAATCACCAAAACCGTGAGCCATCATTACCCCTATAGAGCATAGGTTACAACCGCCACATCTACTAACTCCTCCTGAGCACACACGTGGCCCACTAACCCCATCCATTTGTAAAAAACTCTTGAATTTCCCTTTTTCACTTATAAATAATTTTCAGAACGTCTTTTACTTTTTCTTCTTCAAACCTTTTTACAACATTGCCTCATCTTTTATTCTCACCGTTTGTCTTCCAAGAACACTCCTCCAACACTCATCATGGCTGAGCTAAGATCCCAGAAACAGAAAACCCAGTCTCATCAACAAACTTCTTCTTCCACCCTTCCCCTTTTTGCTGCTCTGAGTGGACCGAAGGTGGTAAAGAATCAGCAACTCGTGCGAGAGCCTCTACTGGAGGAGAAGCGCCATATCTACGAATCCTAGGTAACCATACCCGTTACTGTCACGGATAAACTGCTTGCCATGTTCGGGCCTCTATCCCTCTCTGGTTTAAATTATTCCACTTTGAATGAGTTTTTTCCTTCTTATCGAAAAACCAAACCCCTAGGGCAAAAAGACTCCCAAAAGGTCCCCTTGGATAATCCAGATAGCTTGAATGTTTATAATGTGGATCTCAAGTATCTCTATGATGGCGCAATATTGTTTAGGGCTACGCCATATTTCAAGGATTCTGAACTCTACCTCAACTGGTTGAAGAAGGTAGAAAAAGCAAAAACTCAAGACTGGAAGGATATGGGCATCTATGACCTTATTATGATGTCGAAAGTAGGTCCCAACTACTGCCCTCTGA